AGGGCTGGTATTCACACGCAGGTCCATTTCTACACCACCTTCAAGAGGAGAATAAAACTAGCTGGTGTCAACCCTTCTCTTTTGTCCGGGAGAAGTGTGTTTTGGGGGTCAGGTAATATCTTCCGAAAAATCTGTTTTTCCAGAAAAGGCAAAACTCTGACTTAGGGGGGCCCATTTTCTTTCCCCTACCACACTGGAAGACAATGTTCTGACTTGTACGTATGGATAGCTGCCATGTCATGAAAAACTCCTGAAAATGGTCTCTGAATGTGTCATTCTGGATCCTTTGGTTTCAACCCAGAGCCTTCCCCTTAGGACTGATGAAATCGGCAAGAACTGAGGCCTTTCCTCCCGTGTAGCAACCAGCTAACGAGCCCAAGTGACTCCACCGTCTCTCACCTCCCCGTGCTCACTGACAAGGCTGTGTATTCTAAGATGACGAGAGGCCAGGGCCCTTTTCCTTTTGGTCTGATTTTCAAATCTTCAGTGACGCATCAAAGGGACCCGCAGGATTGCTGGGCGTGAAGCACCACCGTGTGGCCAAAGCACCACATACCAACAGGCTGCTGCATAAGTCATGCCCTCCAGAAGGGGAGGCAGGGAGGCCAAGGTGTGTGGCTTTGAAGACCCACAAATCCTGACCAGGTAGAGAAGCCCGGCTCAGAGGACTGGACCCAGGTCCAGGTCTGAGTCCTCACCCTAGGACTGGTACCTGAGGTCTCGATTAATCATGAAAAAGGCATTTGTCTTCCCCGAGTGGCAGTTCCGCTTAGGTGTAAAACGAGGTCATGGTCTTCTCCAGCTGTGACAGGCCTGGGACTGCAAAATGAATACACATTTTCCTTTACACGTGACATACAGCAGCCAGGCAAGACGGGAGTTGACAAGTCTGACAACCCTGTGGCACTCCCGATAAGGGCTCATTTAAGACCAAAGTCGACAACCTTCATATCCGTCCTAACCTATACTTCCATTTAATGAAGGCAAATTTACAAGTAAGCCAGGTGATCTGAGGACCCTATGTTAGGAGACATGGCAATAAAGGATTGTCACAAGGCTGAAGTGTCATGTTTTCCACTTGGAAATTTTGTATAATTGAAAAGATTTTCTGAGATTGGAGTCTGTCAGAAAAGACAGAATTTCACCTTAACAAAATTATCGGGTGGCAGTTAGAACCAAAGGATTGTGGAAATGACGGCTAGGTCACAGCCACAAACACTGGGCTGTTAGAATCAAGCCTAATGGGGAACTGGACTGGGTTTGTAAGTACTAGAATATCTTGTGATGCTGTGTAGTTGGCTACATAATGGTCTCCCAAAGATGTTTCCATTCGAATCCCCCAAGCCTGTGAATGTCACCTTGTATGGTAAAAGGGATTTAGTAGATTTGATTAGATTAAGGATCTGGTGATGGGGGGGTTGTCTTGGATTACCCAGGTGAGACCGAAGTCATCATGAGGGTCCTTATAAAAGGGGGGCAGGAGATCAGATGGGCACAAGAGGTTGGGGGGACACAAGAACAAGGTCACTGCCAAGGAAAGCAGGAAGCTCTGGAAGTTGGGAAAGGCCAGGAAATGGGAGCCTCTAGAAGGAAGACAGCCTTGCTGAAACTTTGACTTAACCTAGTGAAATAGATTTTGGGTCTTCTGACTTCCAGACTGTAAGAGAATAAATTTGCTGGGCTGGGCACAATGACTCACACCTATAATCCCAGCACTTTGGGAGGGTGAGGTGGGAGGATTGCTTGAGCCCAGAAATTGGAGACTAGCCTAGGCAACATAGCGGGATGCCATCTCTACAAAAATATCAAAGAATTAGCCGGGCATGGTGGTGTATGACTGTAGTTCCAGCTACTCAGGAGGCTGAGGCGGGAGGCTGGCTTGAGCCCAGGAGGTTAAAGCTGCAGGGAGCCATGATTATGCCACTGCCCTCCAGCCTGGGTGACAGAGTGAGACCAGTCAGCATCTAAAAAGAGAGAGAGAGAGAGAATAAAGTTGCATTGTTTTAAGCTTTTAAATGACATAGTGTTACAGCAACAGGAAACTAACCCACTATGCAAAGGCAATCAGTGACAAGGGGAACAAAGTCTCCCGATAGAATCAGGCTCCAACTCTGTGTCTGAAAGGGATTCCAAAGGCTCTGTCTGCCAGCCGCATTCTCAGCTGCATGGCAAAGGACCGAGTATACACCATTCAACCAAACCAGCTTCTGCCGGGAAGAGAAGACATTTTTGTGGTGGGCATGAGAAACTAGAAGCTAAAGTACAAGCCAGACACCTGGGGCTGACATCCTCTTTTTCTGACACACTGTCTAGGGATAGGTAGATTTCTCTGCATCAAAACTGAGGGTCCTGGCTGGGGCTGTGGCTCACACATGTCACTCCAGCACTCTGGGAGGCCAAGGCGGGAGGATTACTTTTTAGCCCAGGAGTTCGATACCAGCCTGGGCAACATAGCGAGGTATTGTCTCTACAAAAAAATTCAAAAATTAGCTTAACTATATGCCTATAGTAACAGTTACTCAGGAGGTTGAAGTAGGAGGATTGCTTGAGGCCAGGAGGTTGAGGCTGCAGTGAGCTGTGATGGTGCCACTGCACTCCAGCCTAGGCCACAGAGTAAGACCAAACTCAAACAAAAAACAAAAATGAAAAAAAACCCCTGAGCTAGCACTGCCAACACAGTCCCAACGGCTCCATAGAACGAGTTCATAGAATAATGGTCAAATCAAGAGAAAAGAACCTGTCAACTCAGCAGGGGCTTCTGAATTGACTTTTCAGATTTGATATATCTCAAACTCCAGCAGTTACCATCCCAAGATTCCCCAGGCAGAGTCCAGATCCTGGGGTCTATCACTGACTTCAAACACCCAAAAATCATCCCCAAAGACAAGCCAGCCTTGTGCTTCCAAAGTCTGGGATTTTTCAGGCGGTCTGTGTATAGTCTCTCATTCAACAAAAACATACCAAATGAAACAAAATAGAGAGGTACAGTTTCATGTCCCCCAAGCGACAAATACTTTTTTTGCGACAAATACTTTTTTTAAAAAAAATCAGGACTCCAAACATCTTCAGTCCTGTTTATTTTTTTCTCATCTGTAAAAGCAACAAGTACACGATGTCTTCACCACGTACTGACAGGGTGGATCGATGAGACACTGAAGTTTGATAAGAGGCAAAGAGACCTTTGTCCTGAGCTTATCCCCAGCAGTGAACTTTTATACATGAGGCACAAAACAAGGCCACATTGTGGGAGAAGATCCATGGTGAGAAGTTGCAGTGCTTTAATTCAGTTTCTAAGACAAATCTCCCAAACATTTATTTTTCGGTGACGCTTCGGCTATAGTTGGGTTAGTACAAGCAACAAAATGAACAAAACCCCCAAACATTGACATTGGCACTCAAAACATAATAGAGAAGTATTAAAACATTTCCAGTATGTTGTCCTTCTGAAAATGTGTTGATATAAAATTTCTAAGAATGCCACACAATTACTAGTTGTCCTCTCTCTCTTTCTCTCTCTCTCTCTCTCTCTCTCTCTCTCTCTCAAAATAATTAGATTCAAATAATCAGGTTCACATAAACAAAAATTTCTTTCTAAACAACAGAACAATAAGAATATCAGGTCAGGCATGATGGCTCACACCTGTAATTCCAGCACTTTGGGAAGCTGAGGCGACAGGATTACTTGAGCCCAGGAGTTTGAGACCAGCCTGGACAACATAGCAAGACCTCATCTCTACAAAAAATTTAAAAACCAGCTGGGCATGGTGGTGCATGCCTGTAGTCCCAGCTACTCAGAAGGCTGAGGCAAAAGGATTGCCTGGGTCCAGGAGTTGAAGGCTGTAGTGAGTTGGGATCATGCCACTGCACTCCAGCCTGGGTGACAGAATAAGACTCTGACTCAAGGGAAAAAAAAGAAAAAGAAAGAATATCATCCCACAGGCCTGGCAGAAGGGAAGCCTTCATTCAGTTCTCAGAGTGACCCTGGCTTAGGACATCCTTGGCTGAGTTCAGATGATTGGTTTTTCCAAGTGTCTTCTTCCTCATGCCCAAAGGCCGTCATATATTTGTAAGCAAGCACAGACTGATTTACACGAAAATGCCAAAAAATAAATGAAAATAATAAATGAGAATAGACAAAGTTCAGTGTATTTTCCAAACCAGTGGTTTTCAAGCTTGAATGGGCACAACTCTGCAAAAATGCAAAAATGTGTTCGAAATTCAAAGAACACATTTGAAATGTAATTCTGATTCAGACAGTTCCTGAAATTGAGAAATTCTTTCTGGGCCAAATGAACTTAATGATTCTGATTTTCCTCTTAACTGGGGGAAGGGAGAGGCATGGCCTGTCACAAACTGGTTCCAAGGATACTTACAAAAACTTTCACCAGGCACAGTGGCTCACTTTGGGAGGCCGAGGCAGGAGGATTACTGGAGCCCAAGAGTTTGAGACCAGCCTGGGCAACACAGCGAGACCTCTTCTCTACAAGAAAATAAAAAAATTTAACCAGGCATGGTGGTGTGTACCAAGTCTCAGGTACTCAGGAGGCTGAGGCAGAAGGATTGCTTGAGTCCAGAAGATTAAGAATACAGTGAGCCGTGATCAAGCCACTGTACTCCAGCTGGGTAACAGAGTGAGACCTTGACTGAAAAAAAAAATTCTGGGTGAGAATCGGAGGGAAAAAAATCCCTCATCTCTCTCCTTCTCTAGTCAGTTCCCTGTGAAAAGTGGGAGGTCCCTGACATACCCCTTCCCTCACCCTACTGCCAGGACATTGGCCTTATCTTCAGCCTAATTCAGAAATTTTTAGAAAAGAGAGCACAAGGAGCTACTTTCTCAGCTGCACTCTGCCCAAAAGAAGGCACCTCGATACAGAACCAGAATGTCTCTGAGCCCATGGAAAGAGGGGCTACCACCTATTTGAAAACTTTGGCCCAGAAACCCACAGGGTGGGGGGCGAGGCTGTTGGTCCCTGTCCTGAGCACAATGCTAGCAGACACTTGGACGAACACACCTGGAGAACAAGGACCAGGCCAGGTGGGCCAGAGGAATGAGCCCAGACGCTCCTCTCAAGACCTTCCATCCACTGCTCTTGGAGACCAGACAGGCTGCAAATCCCTGCCAACCTGCCCATGCAGGGAAACCCAGGGTCCAAGTCTCCCGAGGTCTGTCCTCTGGGAAACCACAGGTCTGTTTGGCACTAGCAGGACACCAGCAGGCAGTGTGTCGAGGGGTCTGATTGTGTTACAATTTGCATACTTAACGCCACCAAACACCTCGTGCTGCGCTAATAGCAGACACCTTCTCAGGGACCCAGAATGAGACAAGTCAAGGAAGCCGGATGGGGTCAGGGCACTGTCCGCTCCCAGAGTTTTTCTCGAAGCAGCCACTGCCCTTTGGGGTTCTCGGTCTCGTAGTAGTCCTCCCCCGGAGGCACCAGAGGTTCCAGTGCAAAGAGCTCTGCATCCCACTCCATGTCTTCTCCTGAGAAGTTGAAGAGGATCTGTCTGGAGCTCCCCAGGCTGGAAGGGAGGAATGAGGCAGAAGGTGTAAGTTCCAGGGCACAGAGGACAGGAACACTCAGATGACCACCATTCCCCAGGTTGTTCCCCTAGTCCTGAACCTTGGGGAGGACCAAACAGTGTCCTCACGGGAACTGTGGGTCGGCCTCAGCTGGAACTCAGCCTGGCCTTGAAGGAGATGGATAGGTGATGAGGGCTGGCTTGTGGTCTTCATATGTCCAGCCCATAGCCTATTATTATGGGAGGAAAATGCCATCTAGAAAGCCCCTGAATCCAAGAGGGTTGAGTGGCTTTTGCAAAAGCAAAGGGAAACAGCCAACAGGCCCTTCTGTTGTGACAGGTGAGGCCCGGCAGCATGGCCTGGGTGGGCCAAACTGACAGAGAACTTCCTGCTGTAAGTGTGTAGGTAACAGGAATTTGGGGGTCAGTGATGATAACTAGTCTTGGGAGAGAAGGATCCGGAGGGAGGAAGGCCACAAGAGACTGTGGCAAGAGGAGCCCAGCCAGCAAGGAATTCTACAACTCAGAACCAGTGCCTTCTAGGCGGGAGCACCTCATTCGCTTGCTGTCGGTTCCGTTTGGTGCTAGCTCTGTTCAAACTCAAACCCTCACTAAAATCTGGAGCACACAAAGTGTCGGCGGCACCTGGGGCCATAATGGAGGGGGGTGGCACAGAGAACGAAAAAGGGCTACATGGGCCAGGAAAAAGGGAGGCCCACCTAGAGCCGAAGCTAGTTAGGAGCAGGTGACAGCAGTGAGCCAGGGTAGAGTGTAGACTTCCACCAACAAAAGAGTTTGTTTAAACAAAGACCTCCTCTTCAGGAAAAAGAAAAAAACCAATGATCTTTGGCAGGTAGGATGGGGGTCAAGGCACCTTAAGAGCCACCCCAAGCATCTGGAGGACCTGAGGACATCTTGGGTACGCTGCTCAGTCCAAGCACTTACTCTTTCTTGCAGGCTCTGGGCTTAAATTTCAAGGTGTTGAACGCCCCCTCCACAGCCTTGGGCAAATAGATGGGGTGCCTCTCCAGCCGCCTCTGAGTGCCGATGGCCCGGCGCTCCGTGCTCCTTCGAAATTGGCCATCTATGGTGTGTGCGGCGCGGGCGGCGACGTCCTCTGAGTGTCTACGCGGCGCCCGCAGGATCCAGTTGGAATGCAGGCTGTGCTCCTGGGAACTGGTGGCCACTGGAAGAGACAGGACCGGAGAAGGGAGGACTCGCAGTCGGGAAGGGCACGACGCTAAGGAGAGGGTGGGTCCAACTGAGAACTCACAACAGATAGGTAGAGAGAGCCAGCCATGTTCCCAGCAGCCAGAAGGCCTGATAGCCAAGCAAAGGGGATTTGACTCAGCAATTGTGGTGCAAGGATACAGTGGGATATTAGGTCCACGAAAAATGAGGGTGTACATCTACATTTATTGATTGGGAAGAAGTCCAAGATGCACTGCAAATTGTTAATTAACAATTGTTAATTGTTAAGTAAAAGACTAGTTTTTTTTTAAAAAGAAAAAGAAAATAAAAATGAGTGCGAGTGTGTTAAAACACTTTTGAGGCCGGGCTCGGTGGCTCAGCCTGTAATCCACTTTGGGAGGTCGAGGCGAGTGGATTGGCTGAGCCCACAGGTTTGAGAACAGCCTGGGCAACTTGGCAAGCCCTCGTCTCTAATAAATACAAAACTAGCCAGGCGTGGTAGTATGCACTTGTAGTTCCAGTTACCTGGACGACTGAGGCAGAAGGATCGCTGGAGCCTAGCAGGTCGACGCTGGGGTGGCCGTGAGCATGCCACTGCACTCCAGCCTGGGAAACGGAGTGAGACTCTGACTCAAAAAAAAAAAAAGTTTGTAGGGACGTCAACAGTGATGATTATCTCTGGGTTTGTTGTACTGCAGGTCATATTTTTTTTTTTACTTTATACCGGTGCATCATTTGATTAATTTGATTTACAGTGAACATGTATTATTGTTAACAGAGAAAAATAGCCATTGCATGACAAGAGTCACTTTCATTAAAAATTATACCTATGGGCTGGGCATGGTGGCTCACACCTGTATTTCAACACTTTGGGAGGCCAAAGTGGGAGGACTGCTTGAGGCCAGGAGTTTGAGACTAGCCCAGGCAATATAGCAAGACCTCATCACTACAAAAAAAAAGGAAAAAGAAATTATCTGGGTGTGGTGGTGTACACCTGTAGTCTCAGCTACTTGGGAGGCTGAAGCAGGAGGGTCACCTAAGCTCAGGAGTTGGAGGCTGCAGTGAGCTGTGATCATGCCATTGTACTCCAGTCGGAGTGGCAGAGTAAGACCCCGACTAAAAAAAAGAAAGAAAAGAAAAGAGAAAGAAAAATTATAACTGTGAAGGTGACACTTACAGATTTTATCATCCTTTCACCAACATCCTGAGTTGCCCAGGCCCCCTCCCAGGGAGAGGGCTGCTCCCTGTTGGAGACTGGAGGGGCTTTGTGGGAGAAAAGGATGAGGAAGGGAGAATGAGCTTGGGCAGCGGGGTCCCCTTCTGTGAAATTGCACAGAACCCAGTTTGAGAACCCACGTTTCACAGACACACATCCATCAAAGCCAGAACAACAACAATAAATCACAAGCTTGTCATCTTTGGAGCATTAGCTAAAACACGAATTATTTAACATTGGTACCAAAAGCTGTTACCTTAAAATCTCAAAGCCAGTATCACCCGTGAATAAAATCAAGGCTAAATTGCACCATGGGGTGTGGGCAAGCCAAAGATTAAAGAAAGGGGCAGTTGAGCAATGGAATTTAAAAGCGGACTCAACTCATGGATGTGTTTGGATTCTTCCCTCTCCACGGGAGTGGGAGGGGGCCTGTGGCACACCTTGGTAGGGAGGGAAGCATGGCCTCTGCTCCCCTCTCCCATCTTCCCCACCCCCTCCAGAAATCCAGGCTGGGCCTGGGCAGGCACCCTGGGCACCCCTGCCCTACCCACCACCCCACAACCTATCCTAGGTAGGCTCGGAAGCTAGATTTTCAAATATAGTGAGTTTATTTCTTTTGTTTCTTTTTTTATTTTTTATTTTTTTGAGTTGGAGTCTCACTGTCTCCCAGACTGGAGTGCAGTGGCCGCTCCTGGCCACCGTAGCCTCAACCTCCTGGGCTCCAGCGATCCTTCCGCCTCAGCCTTCCAAGTAGCTGGAACTACAGGCGCGCGCTACCACGCCCGGGTAATTTTTTTTTATTTATTTATTGTAGAGATGAGGTCTCGCCTGCCCAGGCGGGTCTCAAACCCGCGGGCTCAGGCAATCCACTCACTTCAGCCTCCCAAAGTGTGGGATTACAGGCTGAGCCACCGAGCCCGGCTGTTTCTTTTTTTAATTGTGAAGTGTGCATAATGTAAAAGGCACTATCGTCAGTATTTTTAAGTGCATAGCTCAGTAGTGTTCAGTGGATTCTCATTGTTGTGCAAGCGATCTCCAGAGCATTTTCATCTCACGAGATGGAAATTCTGTGCCCTTTCATCCACCCCCGCCCCCATGAAACTATTTCTTTCATCATTTCCCTATTGCTCTCCTCCTTGGAATCTTGGGAGAGTTCCACGGGTTTCAGCTGTGGTAAGTGGACCACAGGGAAGGAGTTTTTGTCCAAACCTGGCCTCAGGGTGTTGGAGGGGCGGGTTGAAGCAGTGGCAGCAGGAACAACCAAAGCAAGAGGTGCCCAAAGAGGACGGCTCACGGGCCAGGCTCCCACTGTAGGTGCAAGGTTTCCCTTTAACCGAGGAGATTCCTGATGACCTATCTTATAAGTGCACCCCAGAGCCCCCAGCCTGCAGTCACACCTGCACCATGGCCACCCGCCTTCAGCCACCATGCTCCCTCTGCCTTCCGCGACACTCACCATCAAAGTCCACGTCTTCATTGGGCGGGTCAGCCTCAGCAGCCCGGGGCCGTCTCTCTGTGTCCAGCTCTGCAATGATGGCGTCAAAGAAGGCCATGGCCTCAGCCACGTCGGCGCTGAACTGGGAGTATTTCTTCAGGGCTGCCTTGTTCTAGAGGTGAAGGAGAGAAGAAGGTTGTCCACCCAGCTCCCGAGCATCTTTATGCAAGTGAGCCAGAGACCCTGGAAAGGACTAAATGCGGCTAAAATGAAATGCACCCGGAGTCAGGGATCCCAAAGGTAAATCTGAATAAGTACCCTGTAGAAGCAAGACAGGCACTCCAGATCATGACTGCTGTGGGTCCATGGACTTCTAAGTGACCCAAGGAGGGACAGTGAAAGAACAATGAGGTCTGCTTCTTTCTTGGTCGTGGATTTGTTATCAGACCTTGGGCAGAACAACTTTCTTTGGCCTTGTTCCCTGCTGGTAAACACCCAAGTGGGAGATTGTACAGATCCTCAGGTTGGCAATGAAATGCTCACAGCAGAAAGAGAAGCCAAGATATTTGGAAAATACTCTGTAAGAGCTGTCAGTTTCTAAAGGGAGGCTGGTTCAGTGACTCACGCCTGTAATCCCAGCACTTTGGGAGGCTGAGGTGGGGAGATTGCTGGAGCCCGGGAGTTCAAAACCAACCTAAGCACCCTAGCAAAACCTCGTCACTACAAAAAAAATCAAAAAATTAGCCAGTCGTGGTGGTGCGTGCCTGTAGTACCAGCTACTTGGGAGACTGAGATGGAAGGATAGCCTGATCCTAGGAGGTTGAGGCTGCAGTGAGCCGTGATTGTGCCACTGCATTCTAGCCTGGATAACAGAGTAAGATCCTGACTCAAAATAAAAATAAAAAATAATGTAAAAATAAAGGGGCCAAATTTGGGCTCAAGTCGTGGAAGAAATTTAAATCAGTACAATTCTTTGAAAAATGCAAGGAAAAAATATCTGTTCTACCTAACTAGCTTTCAGGCTCTGTCCTGACTTGGTCTCCATAATCTCATTTCATCTTCACCATAATCCACAAACAGTGAAAAGTGACTCACATCATGTAAGCTCAGACACCATGGTGGGCTTCAATGGAGAACTCACAGTCTTTGGAATTGACCAAATCAGCATGCCAACTAATAAAAAGCTCTGAGGAATTTAGAAAATAAGAGAACTTGGGGAGAAAAAAAAAAGACAAATGTGTTAACGTGGGCTCTTCTGACCAAATGTAGAGTGCTTTTATTTCCAGCAGGCATTTTGAAAGTATGATACTATTGAAAGTGAGTATGATTTAATCACAGACTGGTGTGTTGGGAAAGAAAGGAACAGTGTCTCTGTGTCTACGAGGTTTTTATGAAACATATGCATGTTGTACTGCTAGAAAACATTTTAAGATCTTTTTTCCTTTTATATTTGTTTTGTTTTGTTTTTTTGAGTCAAGGTCTCACTCGGTCACCCAGGTTGCAGTGCAGTGGCATGCAGCCTCAACCTCCCGGTCTCAGGCGATCCTCCCACCTCAGCCTCCCAAATAACTGGCACTATAGGCACGCACCACCACACTTGGCTAATTTTTTGATTTTTTTTTTTTTTTTTTGTAGCGATGAGGTCTCATTATGCTGCCTAGGCTGGTCTCGAATTCCTGGGCTCAAGTAATCCTCCTGCCTTGGTCTCTCAAAGTGCTGGGATTACAGATGTGAGCCATGGCAACCCGACCCACATCTGTAATCCCAATAGTAAAGAGGAAACTACTGGAGGACCACAATATACACCTGAACCTTGTCTGTTAGAAGTGGAAGCCTAGCCACACGGAGTTATCATCCCCCTTCAAAGAGCCTGCTAATATGAAAGTGAGGACAGCATCAAGTAAAAGCCCCCGGGGCAAAGAGAACAAGAGAAAGGCCATTCATGGAAGAAAGACGTCCAAAGGCTTCTGTGGGTCAGAAAGAGGTTGGAGGGGGCCTGATGGGATGGAGCCAGGGACTGGCTCCCAGCATGACACAGGTGGGAAAGCAGCTGAGAAGGGGGACAACTCGACCCCTGGGAAGCAGAGACTCACCAGACATGCCAACAGAAGGCACACCAGGGGCTGGGCGTGGATGTGAGACTGAAATACAGAAGGTGGGGGGGAAGAAGCAGTGTCGGTTGAAGCCCTCTATTTGCGCTGCTTCCTCCATCTTGAATGTTCTCACTGACTGACTCTGGTTCATGTATCGAGACTTAGCTGGAAGAGCACCTTCTCCAGGAAGCTCCCCCCTTTTCCTGGGCTGTCTCTTTCCTCTAGGTTCCCGTAAGCCTCAGTACCTACTCTAGTTTTACTATGGCACGTTCCATTTTAGAGATTTTATTTTGTTGAAGCATGGGAGAAAGAAACAAAGAAGAGAGAAAGCTCCCCGATCCAGACTGACTCCCCCAAGGGATGTAATGCTAGGTCCATAGGATTTTTTTGGGGGGGGTTGTTTGTTTGTGCATCTCAAAATCCCCCCAACATGGAGGGGACATCTCCAAGTGTGTAGTAGGTAACTGCCATCAGTGGTGGCTTCATGCAAGGATCTCTCTTGCTTGTGTGCACCATAGTCTTTCTTATCTGGGCTACCCTACGATTTGATCTAAGTGATTCATTCTTAAGTATCTCTCTGGACAGCAGCTCAAAGCACTGAAATCAGTTGTTTTTGTCTCTTTCTTTTTTTTAGATTAGAAAATATAGTTTATTTAAATTCAAATGAGAGAGAGAGAGAGCCAAAGGAGATTCACCTCCCCAGGGTAGGGGAGGGGGCCAAAATCTGTTTTTTGTTTCTTAAATTATCTAGATGAGAGCCAACTTGGTGTCTTTGAGGCAGGGTAGCCAGCACAGGTTAGACATAGATAGATACATTTTCCATAAATAGGTTTTAGAAAGTGTTCAGACATTTTAAAAATTACATTTTACCGCAGGCCAAGCTGGCAGCCTACCTCACCCCCTCGGCAAATCAAAAGAAAACTCCATCAGATGCCAGACTAGGACAGCCCAACCTTTCAATTCATGGTTTAGCATAATAATCACTAAGAAACTTTCAGATTCCCTGTCAAAAGCAGAAGACCAAAGACCACCCCTTGACTAATCAAAGCCATAGAAATGATAATAAACTACCTTTTAACCAAGGAACTTAACTGGAAATGTCTGGTAGGTCTTCTGCAAAAGACAATGTGGTCAGGAAAAAATCACCCCCCTCCCTTCTCTCTTTCCATCAGGACCCCAGAGATGTCAATCTCCAGAGTGGGGTGACCTGGCCTCCACTCTTTTTTTAGTCTATCAATCATTGTGAAGGAGTATCAGGTCTATTGTAAACAGCAAAAGCACGGTTTCTTTCACCCATGCCAGCTCTGGCATGTCACTCTGTCTTTTCTCTCTTCTTTCTCTAATAAACTTTGTTTGAAAACTTTGCCATCTCATTTTAGAAACAAGCCAAAGAATCTATGGATTTTGTACAGCACCCCACCTGGCATCATTAACCAGTAGTGGCTAAGAACACGGTGAACACCCTGTCACCTGTCTGTTAACACAGACGCTGGAGTGTTCTAAATCCTCTGAGGACGGCATTTACAAATCAAAAAAGAAACCACTAGCCAAGAAATCACCACCTCAGCCACTGGACTCTCTCATCAAAGCTAGTAGACAAGAGTTATTTCAGGTGCACATTTGTTGGTTACTCCAAATATTCAAACATGTTGTTTGTGTCCAACACTTCAGCTTCAAGTTTCAAGACCTGGGTCCCCTTCCCATACCTTGCCCTTTCTGCTATGCTCCATAGCGACTGCCATTCCAGGCTCACCCAGAAACGTTGACAAGTGAGCTTCTCGGCCAACACTGAAGAGGTGGCTCTTCCAGTTCCCACTCCTGGGGCTCTCCTGGGCCAGTAAATACATTATTATTATGACATTTGTTTTTGGCCAGGGGTAGTGACACACCTGTAATCTCAGCATTTTGAAAGGTTGAGGCAGAAGGATGGCTTGAGGTCAGGAGTTTGAGACCAGCCTGGGCAACATAATGAGACCCCATCTCTACAAAAAATAAAATAAAGTCAAAAACTAGTTTCTGGTAGAAGGGCTTTCAGATCCTGGCATGGCTGGTGAGTAAATCGTTGGTGACGTTTGTGAAGAACCCAAAGGATCCTGTGTGACCAAGTCTCATCACAAAAGAAAGCTTCCCTCCATTTGCCCAGTTATCTTCATTAGATACCCCAACCCCAAATCCCTTATGGAATAAGATAGGGAAATAAATAAACAAGTGAATAAACAAACTGTCCTCTTTCTTGCTTGGCTGTGCCTTGCTTCCCTGCAAATGATCGTTTGCAAGTGGCCCTTTGACCCAATCTGATAGCCCAGTCTTGGGAGGTAACAGTCATATCCCTCATCGTTGTCAGGGTGACTCTGTAACAGTGGTGCCCAGTCCCTTCTGGGTGCTATTAGACTATCTATGCCTGGCCTTCTCCCAAACCAACGAATTCAAATAATCAAGAAAGCCAGGCTCGGTGGCTCAGCCTGTAATCCCATGCCTTGGGAGGCTAAGGTGAGTGGATTGCCTGAGCCCGCGGGTTCGAGACCCATCTGGACAACTTGGTGAGACCTCACCTCGACAATAAATAAAAAAATTAGCCGGCGTGGTAGCGCGCACCTGTAGTTCCAGCTACTTGGAAGGCTGAGGTGAAAGGATCGCCGGATCCCAGCAAGTCAAGGCTGCGGTGGCCGGGAGCGGCTACTGCACTCCAGTCTGGGCGACAGAGTGAGACTCCAACTCAAAAAAAACCAAAAAAAAACAAATAATCAAGAGATCCTAATACACAGCTGCTGGACCACTGCTCCATAGGGACCCAGACATGGGCAGGACAACAAGGGGGCCCACGAATCCTCATCTCATTTTCTGGTTTAACAGGGAAAACCTAAAATACCAGTCTTACTCCCTGGTTTTGCAAGAGAGACAGAAGTGTCTCCGTGGTGAACACAGAGACAGCAACCAGGAGCTAGGGTTAGAGGCCACTGAGGAAAGAAAGCAAAAGCTCCTGGATTAAGGAGCCCAGCCTCCTCGCATCATAGTGTCCTTCCTATTACCCGAGGGGCCCAGGTAGGAGACTGAATCTGTCTTCTGCTCTCTCCTTCTT